AGAGCAAAATTTAGTATTTTGGTCAAGACAACCCAAAATGTGATGTCCACATATGTGGACGCCAGGTCCTAGGAGGTTAAATGCAATTTTATCTTGAATCTCATCACTTTGATTTTAACAGTAAAGTTAAAATGAAAATGTTTAAAATGGACCCTTTGCAGTATGTTTTAAGTTTCAGTTTGATCTGATGAACTAACAGTATGATGCTCGTTGCGCATCATACTGAATTGGAAGAATGGGCTGCAAAAACAGCTTGATTAAAGCCAGCAGAATCACCTGATCTGTGTCTGGATTCTTCATATAAAAGGATGTAGAGAAACAGAGTTGTCTGTCGAGGTTCAAATTTCAATGCTTATACAATTCTTACCTTTGGGAAGTACTTCAGCACCATGAAGGAGCCCTTTTTTTGCTTTTAGCTTCAGCGTTGACCGCCACAAGATGTTTGTCCTAGAAAAAGGGGATAGATGCAAGAAGATGGTTATTCATGCACAAACTGCAAAGCCATTTACTGGAGTACCTTAAGTATTTGGGCTTAAACACAGCCTCTTTTCAGATGAAAAGAGGAAATAGAAAGGACCAAAGCCTGGAGACAATGAATCAGTGAAGGAAAACATGAGGTGGAATGAAAGCAGCCACACGATGCCTCTCAAACACTCTGGATGAAATTTTTCAACCTGGCATGATTTCGTTTTTTGAACTTCTTGCAAAGTTTGATCAGCTACCATGTTTACCACATTTTGACATCAGATAAAAATATGACACTGTTGAAGAGGCAGCACTGTCAACTTTTTCACCTGCTGTCATCTCTCAGCCTTGAGCAAAGTTATTTGCTTTAGTTGGGAATTGTCAGATCAGGGACAAGAATGACAAAGAGTGAATAAATAGTGATTCCTGCAAAGACAAAGTATTAAATCGTTCACACAAAGCTTCAGGTCAAAAATGTCTCTTCTGCAGAGGTGAGTTTGTGCTTGTGTTGTTCTGATGGTCAGGTACAGATGCAATTTTAAGATCTCTGCATTTTACTTACATAACACATTTGTAAATGTTGCAGATATGAACAATAGATTCTAATATGTACTCTATAGACTGCTACACAACAGGTTTGATCTTAGTTTGAATTATTTTACAGACATTTTTCAAGAAACTCAAACACCGTCTCGAAATAATTAACAGACATTCAGCTGAAAATATCACAAAT